ATTTTTTATTATAGTTCATTTGGAATCACTTTGTAACTTGATCATGATTTGTACTGGTGTGGTTTTTTTCATTATATGCTTAATATGTTACAGCTTCATCTTTTCTCACCTCTTTAATGTAGAGAGAGGATGCTCAACTACTCATCCAATGAAATTATAGATAGATATGTAACTATATATATATATAGTACTTGATTAAAATTTTTCTTTGTTAATCTTTTAAAAGACATGCCTTATCAATTTACTTCGTTTGAGGAGTCTTAGCAGTTTGTGTATACTTCTGCTTTTAAAATCACTAAAAAAACTGTTGAGCATCAACATTTTTCATCATACTTACTTTGTATGTGTCAACACAGCAACATAACCTTGCTTCTGGGATTTAAGGTACAGCAGTTTTTAAAGGCAGTCCTTTCCAGGACTTTGCACTAGAAGGAATGCTCACCTTCTTGTTAGGCTGGATAAATGTGGTATTTTTAGACATCTTGAAGTTCAGTCACTTTTATTTTACATCATGAGTTCTGTTTCTGATTAAGTGTATATATATTTAAAATGCAATTTAGCAAACTCTGGAGAGAGACTTAAAAACATAGTTGCAAAGTCAGGGGGAGAGCAAAAGCAAAAGCCTCCAATATTTCTTTATTTAAGAGAACAGGCAGTGACAGCTATTGCTTGGCAGTTTGTCTTCAGGCTTTTCCCTATTAATGAATCGCATGACAACTTTGAAATCAAATTAATTAATTGCTTTCTGATGCCAGCCTGTGTAAAGCTGAAAGATACATGGCAGTCAGTTTAATATTGGTCACCTTTGGACAGTATGTGTGTAATAAACGCGCCTAGCTTGCAGCTATCTCCCAAAATTCTCTGGCCTGCCATTCCAAATTCTCTGGCTGGCAGCCGGCTGCTGGCTCTCAGGGTCCTTGAGGCGGAGGAGAGAAAAGGCTGGTGGCTGCAGGAATTGCTCTGCTGAGCTGCTGTTGCCTTCTCCTGTGAGTGGTGGTACAACTGCCAGGTTATCCCCTGGAGTGTCCCTGGTCATGTGCTGGGTGTGTGTCCAGCCTCCAAAGCAGCCTGCTTTCTCCTTGGGCCATGGCCCTGCCATGTGCCCGGAGGTGCTCCTATCTCATTGCCACTTTCTGATTCTTGTCATTTGAATGGTGTCAACTCATCAGTTGATGTGTCCATGATGGAGTGATTAACTTGTTGATAATGTGATTGGATAACATTTTGGTTATCTGCTGGAGGAGGGGAGAAAGTACAACCCAGCACATAGTCTTTGAGTGCCTCTGTGGGAATCTGCTTGGCCCACCCTGACAAAAAATTGAGGTAGTTGTGTCCTAACTATCTTTGTTTATTAAGTGTGACTTGCATTTACAATATTAAATCCTGTAAACAACAAATGTGCTATGATTTGTTATGCTTAGCACTCCTTAACACAGTGCTTCCTTTGGGCTAGAAATTTACAATGTTCTTGAAAAATTCCATCTGTGTGGTTCCAGCCTTCATTAAAGAAAATAGCTCCAAAGGCTTTAAAACAATTAAAATCTTGCAGTGTTGTCTGTTTATAATCATTGAAGTAAAGAGAACCATAAACTGTTTTAACAATGAAATGCAATATAAATCTTAGCTTTTCTGCTTGTAAAAGGACTGTAGATGAAAATGAAGTTACAATGGCTTTTAGCTTTTGACTCTTCTGTGAACTTGCACTTAAGTTTTGAACTGTATGAGCTGGTTGAAGTGGACAGAGCTAAACTGAGGTGTGACTTTCCTTTTCGGTCAGTTTGTAAATGCTCTGTATTGGCAGAGCAATTTGTGACTGATTTGTATCAATTGTATCTTTCAGTTTGGTAACTTTTGTTCATTGTTGCAGGCAAAAAATTTCTCTGGGGTACGGTGCAAGCAAATTTAACATCACAAGCTTTAAGAAACAGAGCAACAAGTATGGCCATTTAAGCTATCAAGCAGTCTAACACACAGGTTTAAGAGATAAGGTGTTAAGTAGTTTTTTTAATGTCTGTTTGTTTTTGTGTTTTTAATTTTTTAAATTATTATTTTCAGTGGGAACAAGTAAATGTCTGCAATGTGTGATACTAAATAGCTGCTCAATTCATTAGGAAAAAAATTATGGGAATATGTCCTTTGTTTTTTTTTTTTTTTTTCCTCTGGGGTAACTGATTAGTTAAAGTGCTTTTAGACCAGTGATCTGTTCAAAGAGGTTTTCTTTTTGAAATTTATCTTTTATTCCTTTAAAAATTTCTTGATGGATCAGCTGCTGCTGAAGCATGAAACAGGTGTGCACTGAAGTGCTTGTGAGGAGTAGTTTTATTTTCTGAGTAGCATTAAACTAGTACAGGAGAGACCAAGTTGTGGATCATTCTGCAGAGGGGAGAGGAAGTATGTGACTAGAATAGTGGTGAGAAATGGGTACATTTTGCTGCTTGTCTTTGAAGTTTGCTGTATTAAACTTGGATCTGCCATACTGAAGTCCCAAGTTCTGTTCTAATTCCTACATAAATCACTTTGTGGAAGGTCAGAGAAATTACAGGAACATTTCCTTATGTTAAGGCAGTCCATATTCCTCTACAGTGTGGAAGAACAGGAAGTGAAGAGATGATCATAACTTAGATGACTTGCTGGCTTCCTGTCCAGAGAAGCTTAGGATGTTACTCATCTTCTGCATCTGGTACATCCTGGATGGATTTACAACAGTAGATTACAGCAAGATATATAACATACTGTGTAACTGAGTAGATAAGAAATATATATGATACAGTAAAATGTAATTCTCAGGTAAACTGCTTCTTTAGCATCATGTGTGTGTCAGATCTGTCTTTGTATTTTGGGGTTGTGATGAATCAAGCCATATGGTATCTCTGGACATATGGAAGTAATCATGTTCCATGATGAAAACAGTGCACCCTGACTGTGGGTACACCTAAGTCTTGGAGAACTTGTTTCACATACTCATGTGAGAGGGAAGCCATGCCAGGGATGTCTTCTGTAACTGCTGCTGTTTAGAAATGACAAACTTGTATATGCCTGCTCTTTTTCTGCCACTTTCCTCCAACTCTACTTATACTGAGAGTAAATGGAGCATCTGCTTCTGCCCTGCTCTTCCATGGTTGAAAATTCTCTATTATTTCAGCTTTTGAAGTCCAAGGTTTTCTGGAAAACAACAAAATCTGTCAGCAATGTAGTCAGTCCTGAAATTTTTGTATCCACAGTCTATTTTTAAGCCAGAAGTAGTAATCCTTTTTTATAATAATCAACTTGGTTTCTCTTCCCCACATACTCCTTAATTGTGTTATTTCAATGTTTGTATTTGAATAAAGCTTTGACAGTCAGAATTTGGGACAGCAGAATTCTCACCTGAGTTGAGCTTTTCCAAGAAGTAAAGAAGCCTGCTGAGTTTGAATGAAGACTTCTGAATCCAGGTTTTGTGATTAATTAGTGTCCAAAGGTTACCGTGCGAGTATTGCTACTGATTTATAAACATGACTAATTCCTCTAAAGTTTTGCATGTTGATGCCTAGGTAGAACTTTGAAGCTGCTATCTAATTTTTAAAATAAATAGATGAAAATATGAAAAAATAAATATTTAATTAGTCTGTCTCTTTTCAAGTGAAAGCTAGTTTTGTGCTGGAAAATCCTGTTAGCTTTCATTGAGAGAAAAACTGTTGATTTGTTTTGAACTGTTTTAATTTTTTCTCTGAATAGTAAAAGTATCAGTTTTTTGACCTTAGTTTTGTAGTTTGTTGATGTCATTGGGTTCTGTGGGTTCTCCTCTGCCAGCTTGATTGGTAATTCCAATCATTGTAATTTACGAAGATGTGTACTTTTTCTATGGGTTTGGAAAAAATCCCTGCAGGCGTTCTTGGTCTGCAGCATAGAGGCTGTTGGGGGTATGTCTGGAGGATGCATTAATACATGTTAAGTGCCTTTCCTTCTGTCCTTTTAAAGAAGGAATGCCACAGAACTGAGTGAAGGTCTCCCCCATTCAGGATTGCTTTGAAAAATGTAATGGGAAGATTCTCTGTCTTATGGAGAGAGGAGGATCAATGTCATTCTTCAGAACTCTGAAATACTGTAAAAAAATATTATTTTTGCTGCACTTGGTGAGGACAGTAATGTAAACATTTAAATAATAATCTAGTGAATTATTTGTAAAGAAGAACATTTTTGTAATAGCTGTGCTAATGTTCTTAAAGGGTAACTTTTGACTTGTTTTCTTGCATCCTGTAATACAAAGGGTGATATGTTTCTGTTTTATAAAGAAAAAAGCAGGCAATTAAGTTTCTAATTTAGGAAATCTGCAGTAAATATTCATGTAAACTTTTGCAAGTGGACAGCTGTGTACTTAATTGGCTGTTACTTATGTTTCTGTGTTGAAATGGTGTGGTGAATGCCTTGTGGGATGCTCCTGGGATTAGTGGAGAGACAGGAATCTCGACTCCATGTTTCAGAAGGCTGGTTTATTATATTATGATATATATTATATTAAAATACTACATTGAAAGTATACTAAAGAATAGATAGAAAAGGATTTATCAGAAGGCTAGAAAGGACAGAGTGGAATGCATAACAAAATCTTGTGACTGCTCACAGCCTTGACGCAGGTGGCTGTGATAGGTTCAGCAAGTGAAAACAATCCACATGGACCAATCTAAGATGCACCTGTTGGTAAACAATGTCCAGACCACATTCCACAGCCATCAGATAGTTAATTGTTTGCGTTTCTTTTCTGAGGCTTCTCAGTTAGGAGAAAAATCCTAACAAAGGATTTTTCATAAAATATCATGGTGACAAAATGGAATGTCTCATCTGATTGGAAAAGTTATAGGATTAAAATGGTACTATTCATATGCATTTGCATCTATACAGAGAGAGCCAAGGTGTAAACATGCATCTGTGTGTGTATGTCTATGAGGGTGGGCAGGCACTGTGAGAAGGTGTTTTGTTACCCACAAATGCTTTCTCTCATCCAGTGAGCAATTGTTACCCATATGGGTGAGACATTTATGTTAACAAGCAGGATTTTTTGGTTGCATTTGCCCTTTTCTGTTTTTGGGATAATTGTATGTTGATTGGTAAATATAAGAAATGTCAAGTGTTGTTTTTGCCATTGTTTAGTCAATAACGAAAACATACTCCTGGGGGAGTTACACTTCCACAAATTCAGTACACTTCATTCTTTTTATCCTATGGAATGGATATTTACTATATTAAAAGAACTGTGGCAACTTTTTTGGAATGCTTTGTTTGTACATGACTGTATAAAAGTATACTCTGAGTTAGAATTAAAACTTAGAATGCAGGCTAGAGCCTTAGTTTGTGATTCTACAAGTGGAGGTGTACTTAATTTGAAGTACACTGTTGAGCTTGACTCCTTTGATATGGTTAATTTGCTTACCTAATAGTTTTTAGGATTGCTTTGGATATGAATCTTTAGTCAATCAGTGATTTCAGAGGCATTGTGGGAATACTTGAAAATACTGTAACCACTAAGTGAGTGATATTAGTATCTGGATAAGTGTTACTGCTGAAATAATAAATTACACAACCATCTTGGCAACTTGAACTTCTGAAATAACATGGCAGTAATATATGCATAAAAGCTATTTCCATGTTTTAGCTTTGTCTTTTACTTTAGGTGATGGAAAGTAATTGTTATAGGACTGCAATTTATTAGGACTTACGTAGCATAATTAAGTGAGCAAGAATCAAATGTCACCACAGGATTTGCTGTGCTAAGCATAAGTAGATAGAGAGCAAATGTATCCCATTTAGAATCTAAGATGTCTGTTAACTATGCTGTGAGTAGGGCTGAAAATAATTTTCTTATTTTTTTCACAGTAGTATCAGGACAAGCTCATTACAGTAGTATTTTGTCTTTTTTTGAGTTGTGTTTTTTTCTTTATTTAGATGTTGAAACATTTGTTTCCCAAACACTAAAAGGAGAAAATCTGTCTAAGAAAGCAAAAGAAAGAAGAGAAGTTCTTCTTAAGAAGATAAAGGATATTAAGGCAAGGTAAGTGAACTTCATGGCTTTAATATGTTAGCAAGTCACTTAACTGATATCTTAAAGTTTTATGCAATTTTTAAATAAACATTAAATGTATTAACAATTGAAAAAAAATCAGTCTAGGTCCTGATTTTTTAAAAAAAAATCTGTATGGATTCAAGTCTTGTCTTCTCAAAGCTGCTACAATTTAGTAAGAAATGGGATCAGAATGCTTTGTCCCATTTGAATTGTTTAAGATTCTGAAACCTGATTGCAAACTAATTGGGCAGAGCTTGCCTTCACCTCTGCTTTGGTAAGATTCATTAAAACATGAGAAATATAATGTATTGAGGACGAGAATGAGCTTCCTATCACCACACTTAGCTGGTGTAAGCCAGCTGTGTGCTATCTCCTAAGCATTCCATTGATGGCATGCTTCTGCCTCTGTGGCAACTTGTTTATAATTTCAAGGACAGCACAGTAATCTGGTGAGGCCGCTAACTGGAGGGAGACAGGAGATGTGTCCCATAATCTTGTATTCGAAGTTTTGTGTTCTTTTCATTCAGGCTGTAAGTGCTTAGGGGACTAGCTCTCTCTCATTCTCTCTTTAAGAAAGTAGTATTTTATCTATTTATTTTTTCTTTCCTGTGTTTTCCATTCTGGGTTATTGAGTTAGCTGTGACTGTACAGCTGACTTGCAGATACAGTGCTACTGACTTTTTTCTTGACTGACTAATGCTTTCTTGGATGATGAAATATCAGAGAGGGAACCTGCATTTATGAGCATATCGACACTGAATATTTTACTATTCATTTATGTGACCCCATGGTTTCACATCCTATTTTAATTTCTAATGTCTTCCTCATTTCCTGTAGTATTATTCACTGCTAACAGTGTTTTGGTTTTCATGCAGGCTACAAAATACATGCACATTTGTAATCTGCTTTGATTCTAACATCCCACATGTTGGGCTGTGTTACTGCCACTTGCTACACTGGATTTCTTAGATCTGGTCTTTTATCTCTGTTTGCATTTCTCAGTTTCTTATCTCTAGACCATTCCTTTCTCTTCTGCTCATTTCTTGCCAACTTCTCCTTATCGACTAAACTGATATCCTTACTACTGCTTATTGTTCATAAAGATGGTCTTGGCAGCTGCATTTTATTTGCCAGTTAGTTCTTAGACAATGAATGCTTCTTGAATGCCATTCTACATAACTCTGTCCTGATAATTTGTCTGTATCATCAAACTGCATTCTGTGATTATTTTAGTTTCTGAAATACCAAGATTTAGCTCTGAAGAAACAGCATATGAAAGTATGTTTTCCCTCTGGCATGATAATTTTTTTTTTGTTTTCTAGGCATTATATAAGTTGAGAACTCCTTATTTGAAAAGGAATTCTTATTTAGGCATGCTTTAGCTTTTATCTTTCTGGTTAATTATTAATGCATTTTTATTTGGATTTCTGTAAATTTACTGTAGCTATACCCACTATTTTTGATTTTTTTCTTTCATTTCCTATTGAACTACTGGTTTATTTCAAAATATGTTTAATGGTTTTAGTCGCGCACAAAATTTTTTGAAATTTGTTAACCTTTAGAAGGTTTACTAAAATTATAGATGCTTTTGTGTGTTTTTATACATGAAGATATCTGAGCAGATGTGTGTTACTAGGAAAGGCTGCTCAGTCTGGAATTGGTTTTGTTCAAGTCATTCTGTCAGCTGCAAAGGCACAAGGAAAACTAAGTAAATACTTTAAGCCAAAGATAAAGACTTCAGCATTTTCAAGGCAAACTTGCAGCGCTGAGTTTCGACCACAAAACTTGCTGAAAACTGGTTGCTGTTACGTGACGTGTCTTCGTGCCGTGCGTTTGCGAGCGTGCGTTGCTTGATGATGTTTCTTCTTCTTCTTTTCCTGCAGCTATCCTCAGGCGCTCCCGGAGAAAGGTGAGTCCCGCGCCCTTTCCCCGCCGTTCCCGCGGCCGCGGCCGCCCGAGGCCGCTGGCGCCCCCTGCTGCGGCTGGCGGGAACAGCGCCCGAGCGCCCGGGGCACCGCGCTGACGGAAATCCTGGGCTGGAAGCGTACCTCAGGGTTTAATATGTAATGGAGCTCGTCATGGAGCGTATTTGTTATAAATTTAGTATAAATGGAGCTTTGTTAGCAAGAGTGCAGCCCGTATGGTGTGCAGGTTTTTTTTATTTTTTATTTTTCTCCAGAGGGAGTGAATGCTAAGTAGCCGCTTAGGAGATAAAATTTTAGCAGAGATTACTTATTTCAGCCTTTTTTCTTAACGTTGCAAAAGTCTTCAATTCCATAGTGATGTTTCTTTAACCTTTTAATAGGATCATCTCGTGGCAATATGATATTGGCTTTCGATCCACACTGGATGAATGTTTTCATAGTGCAGCGGGAGCTCAGACCTTTAGCTGCAGAGGAGATGATTTAGTGTGCGAGTAATGAAAACTGAAGTGTGGGTTATCTATTGTCTTCTAGTGGAGTTTAAACAAAGCTGCAGAGTTCAGTTTAGAGAAGACTGAGGGATTTGTTGCTACAGTGTTCTGTTCTGTAACTAAACCTGGAAGGGCTCTTATTTCCATGATGCTAATTCTTGAGGTCATGACCTATAGCCTGTGGATGCTGGTATGAGGGTCACAGTGCGAGGTCAAAAAAGCCTATGCAAAGCTTCACTTTTTACAGTGGTTGAAGAACTGTCTGTTTCTGGACAAGGAGGTTCAAATGTGTAGGCTGCAGCATGCCTCCTGAGAAAGTGAAAATATGTAAGTCATATTAGGCAAATAATGTTGTAACAAGGCACAACAAGTTCATACATTTCTTATGCCTGTTTAAATCAAGTTATGCAGCCATAACAGTTCAATTGAAAGGGACAGTGCAATTTGAAACTTCCCAAAGATTCAAGATTGCCAAGATTCTGTAAACTCCAACTATGTGATTGTTTAAAAATTCTATTACAGTCATTTGCTATTTTTTTTATATTGCGGCTCAGCACTGTTACAGAAGATAAAATGTAATTTTCCTCTTGTCCTCACTGTCCAACAGAACTGACTGAGGGAAAATAAAATATTATTTTATTAAGAAAATTACTAACATGAAATTAGGTGGGGTGGTTGTTTCATTGTGAACCTATCTTACTTTGGCAGAGCATGTTTTTGAAGATTTAATAACTTCCTGAGGCTCTGACTCTGTAGTAAGTGTGAGAGTTGCCTACAAAAAGCAGAGTTTGCATTTACTGCTTTGTGTAATTCGAAGGTCAAGAAAATTCTAGTCTATTTACTTTCTTCATTGGTAATTTGATTCAGAATTTCTTTTCCAGTTCAACAAATTATTAACAAAAATGAGATTTCATTATCTCTAGCAAAATGGATGATTTGATTTGTATCGTCTGTAATTGTTACTGCATAACTTGCTGTGATTTCTGTGAAAATTATATTCAGTCTTATTCTTTTTATTAGAGTACATTTGATTCTTAAGCAGGATATATTGCCTTGTAAAAAATTCTCGTGATGTCTCTCTGCTTCAGATAGTAGAACTGTGTAAAAATGCTGAGACATGTGAACACTCACACCTTAGTTTTCAGTATTTTTCAATAAAATGAAAGTTATACCATTGTTTTCTGCAAACAAGGATACATTTCTCCAAATTAATGTGCATTTGCTGCATGCAGGAGTATAAAAAACTTAGGAGAAATAGGAGCCTGCACTTACTTGCAAATTATTTAAGGGAATGTGAATCGGTGGTATGAGTTGTTAGTGTAATGTCCAGAGTTCAAGAAGTGTGTGCTAAACTTTATTTGGTTGTGTCATTCTCACTTTAGGACTGTACAAATTAGGCGTGACTTTTGTAGGTGTAGAACAAAGGACTCACGTGGAGATAAGCAGTCAGATTCTTGGCCAGCTCCTAGTGCAACAAAGCAGTGGCAGCAGCTAAGGGAGGTCAACTTTTGTGCCTATTTTCATACCTCTCTGCACACCTAGACATTTGAAAAATGGATAATTTGGAAAGCATTGAAAACTCAGAAGGCTGTGATGGTCAGTTCCACCCCCTCCAGAGAAAGAAGAAAGATGTTAACATATGAGGTGAAAAAAGGATAATATATTTTAGGAAAAAAAGGAGGGGTGGAAGCAGGATTTTGGAAACTACCCTGAAACAAGGTAGGAAGCATAAAAACTACTATGTGTATTTAAACTCCATATTTACTATTCTCGCTTTTGTTGTAGCAGTCACTAAATTTTTAAAATGTAAATAAAGTAATCTCTGTTCCAGCTGAAAGGGAAGGTGAAGAATGGTACATGCTGTCATGGTATGTTATCATGATATAGTAGTTATACTACATCAGCTGTTTTCAGGAATCTTGTGAGTTGTGACCTGTCATCCTCTCAGAGGCATCCAGAAGTATTTTTGGAGGCTGAAAGAAGTGGACTAACACTTTCAAACTTCATATACTTCCTGTAGGACATAGTGATACTTGACTCCTCTCTCTCAACAGCGTCTCCTTCAGCTTGTGAGTTGTTCCACAAGGATGTGTTGTGGGCATACTTTCCACTCCACTCTCTTTCGTCACTGAATGTTTCTGAAGCCCCACTGACTTTGCACGTAGTGACTAGCTGGTTTGACTAAACTGTCTGTAAACTCTTGTTTTATGGGCTTTGGCCAATAGCACACAGAATCTTGCCTATCCACAAGGATAAAACAAGGAGGTGTGAAAGAGCAACAATAAAAAAAAAAATAAATTGAAGAGCATGTGTGCAAGTAGAACCAGGCTCCTTAAAACTATGATCACCCATGTGCATCTCTCTCAGAAAGTGCATACATACTTGTTTACAACCAGATTGATGAATTTGAGGACTTTCTTGAATCTTCCTAGAAAGAAGCCATCTGATGGAGTCTGTCAGGTCAGTAAATATTATGACAAAAGCATCTTTTTGTCCATATAGACAGAAAAAATTGAAGCTTTTTAGGAGTAGTGGGTACATGTGCAAATGAAAGACACAAAATTAATTGTATAGGAAAATATTTAATTTTTGTGTGTGATGTGTTATTTGATTTAACACTGACTTTTACAGTTAAGTGTGTTGTTAATTTATGGATAAAGAAAGTCCATGTTGTTCTTATGATCCAAAATGTACAATTATATTTATATCCAATCCACCGGTCTTTCATTAGATATTTATTGTATCTATTTTATTCTTTTAATTTGAAATATTTGACTGTGTATCTAAGCAGTTTAAGTAAAACTAAAAAGCTGTAGTCACACTCAGCAACCTGTTCTAGATTTTAGAATTGAGAAAAAATATGAAAATAAAGATAATTTGCATACAAATTGGGTTCATTTTTTGTACGACTGATATTCCTCTAACGGTATAAAAGTCTCAACTTTGTCAAAGATTCTAACTTAATACAGTTTTTGGCATTTCTCTGTTTTGAGATTAATTGAATCAATACTGTGACTGCCAAAATGTTTAGTTAAAAGGACCTTGTTTTCAATTTATGCTAAAAATAGTGCTAATGTTGGCAGAAGCACCCTAAGCTCTAGAAGCTGTATTTGTGTTTGAAGTTCACTTGCCATCTGTTCTATGCATTTATTTTAGTAAAATACATATTTTCATTACTTTTCACAAAATATTTTGGCTCAATGTTGAAAGTGAAACACCAGAAGTACTAGCCAAATTGAGTCATACTATGGGAATTTGCAGAACCAGTTCCCCAGAAAGCACTCGTTGCACCTCGTATCTGATCTGCAGCACTAAATTATGCAGAAAAGTATGACATGACATTTTCTAACTAGCATTTTTCACTCTGATAAAAATTGATGATGGTCCACTTTAGTTTTTATTTCACTGTAACATAATAGAGGGTAAATATGTGTCTCTGGAGCGCTGGTGTTATTCACTATGCATTATGGGGAGCACCTGTAGGAAACCTTTAGATGACTCAAATGCTTCTGGCTCTTGGCAGAGCAGAGTATGTCTGGAGCCTGAGACCTCTGCTTCCTGGAAATAGTGAAACTGTTAGAGTAGCACTATATGCGAAGGATTTGATTTTGTATTTTTTTCTTTTCTGTTTTTGTACAGAGGTTGTATTTCCTTTTTATTTTTTCCCCCGTACGCTCTTTTTCAGGAAATGGCAGCAAGTAGAAGTTTCTTTGGACTTGACAAAGGGCATCAGTATCTTGTGGTCACCAGAGCTGCATGTGCACACAAGTTCTATATTTTAACACACTTGAACTTTTTAGTCAAGAGCATCAATACATAGTTAGTATTTAACTATAAATGGGAAAGATATGGCTTAGTTGTTACCCAGTTCTTTGAGGATCATCATGACATATTTCTGGAGAGACCATCAAATGCATTAGAAGTGTGCCAAATACCACTCTATCCCAGAAGTCTGGGAGATTTCACTGTAGACAAGTCACTGTGTTGTCCCTTTCAGCTACACACAGCTGTCATCTGTGAAGTGTCCACACCAAGTGCAATTTCAAGTAACATGACATAAATCCACCACTGCAGCACAAAATGGTTTTGGCCTGATATGCATCGTAAGAATGAGAGGCAACTCAGCAAGCAAAAGTTGCAGTTGCTTTTCTTGCTTGAAACACATTTGCTTGCAAGCTTAATGTTGTTTCTGTATTGTTTTAAGAATTAGCTGTTAAAGAGTTTCTACTTGACCTTAACAAAACAAGCCATTAAAAATCATCATGTTAATAGGGGACCCTAGAAGGCCCTTCAGGAATGAGTGTGTTGGAGCAGACTGCATGGCAAAGCATGCATTGGAAAACTGATTGTCAGAAGAATCCAGTCTTGCAGGGTGACTGGTGGATTGGGTCAGTAGCATCTTAAAAATATAGGACGCCCCTACCAAGGGGCTAAAGTATACCCCTGCCAGCTTGAAAGCAGCTTTGTCTTCTTGTTCTTATGAAAAACTGAGTAGT